TCGTGTGCAGGTCACAACTTTTAGGGCACCAAAACAGTATTTTTTTCGTTAAAAGTAATGTTTCCTTTAAAGTGCTTTACAATTAAAAACTCCAATGAGGTACATAACATTACATAACGTCTCCATCTGCATCTTAATTGTCATGGAATGGACGTGATGGACAAGATGACGATTTGTGTCTTGTTTCTTTACAAGTACGACATCTTATCGGGCATCTCGATGTTGTTCTTGGATGAGGAGTTGGTGCGTTTTGACCATCTTCATTTGAAAAAAAGTCATTAACACCATCGTATAGAGGGCACTTTGCCCTGTTATGCCAGGTGACCCCACACCGAGAGCACATCTATTGACGCCGTACTCAACGTGATGATCCTTTTCTAGCAGAATATCGTTGAGTCCGTGGCCGACCTACTTGTTTGGGATCTTTTGGTAGAATTACCTTTATACACATAATTTCTGGGGGCAAGTGCCATTCATCAGGATGCGAGACGGGGTTAATGGAGCTTTGGTACATCCTTGCAACCGAGTAAGTTTTGTAATGATCATTAACGAAATCCATTATATCTAACCCGACTTCCATGTTACATATCATAAATTTTCACATCATATTAGAATATAGCTTATTTATTTATTTTTTTATAAAGAAAAAAATAATAATTTTGTTTGGTAAACATTACCGAATGGTCGTAGATGCATGTAACCAAGGTAATAGATCTGTTTCAAACACACGACACTCACATGTTCTTGCCTCTAAATCTACCACGTCGGATAGTGTTTCTTCCATAACCTTATAACGTTGCATGCCGAGTGTGGTAATGGATAGAGTACGACCTTTCTCGAACAAAGGATCCAGCCGCAATTGAGTCCACTGCGTTAGTGGATGATTGCGACCCTCGGCAGATGCACGCCATACAACAAACCATTTCTCTATCGTTGCCCGAACACACTCCCACAACGAACAAACGGGTAACATCCTGGCCCATAGGAGTTTGTTGTTCAAACTTTCGCAGGAATTGGATGTCATGAATCCATAGCGCCGTACAGGTGTAAAAACACCTCGCCCAAGCATTTACTGGAATTTCATTAGTTAGCTTCTTAAATTCTTCGGGTTTTAGGCTTTGGATGAATGACATGTAACGATAGAAATTTTCACGCCGATAACAATATGCCGCCTTGTAAAATATGTCCAAAACTGATTTCTAAAAGGCCTCATTTGTTTTGTGATGTGATAATAGCAAAATGAATGATGCGCATCGGGGAACACTATTGGGACAGAATGTATGATAGACTCATGTCTATCCGATACGATGAGGAGGTTATCAGGACAACCATAGGCCGTTTTTAATTGAGTCAAAAACCAACTTCAAGTCTTACCACACTCTAGATCACCAATGCCAATTGCAAGGGGAAAGATTTGCTGATACCCGTCCAATGTGGCTGCAACAAATATAATGCCCTTGTATCTTCCCTTCAAGTGCATACCATCTATCACAATCACTGGGGCACCAGCTCATTGAAAGCCCTCAATGCTACCTCCGAGAGCAAAGAACAAGTTTTTGAATCCCTCGCCATCTTATTGCAGTTGGACAATTGTACCTGGATTACGAACACGCAACATGTGCAAGTAACCGGAAAGCCGCCCCCATGATTCTTCATGACTTCCATAAACTTTTTCAAAAGCACGGTGTCTTGCACGGAGGGACACATTGTAGCTGATTGACAAACCATGCTCCTCCTGCATTTGTTCAATAGTTCTCCATGTAGATACCGTCTGGGGATTTATCTGAATAGTTGGTGCGTAAATATGAGCGAGAACCTTGGAATTAGCCGAACAGTGCGTCAAAACTCCCTTCGCATGTATTCTCGAGTTTCAAAGTAGTGATTCTCCATACATTTCGGTTTGTCGTTGCACATAACTTGTAAGAACACCCTTCATACCAACAAATAGATAGTAACCTAGAAGTGCAGGATTTGGGTGTTCGACACTCAACTTTTTGTTGCAAGTGATACATTTGGATGGCACAAATCAACTCTTCTTTCTAAAGAAAGACAGACCCCAAAGATAATTCTATATTATTCGAGGGTAAGTGGATGGGTTGTCTATCTGATCCAGTTGTCGTGGGCGGCATAGGAAGGGACCACATTCGTGGCTCAATGTCGGATTGTCGGGTGCTACCTCGATTCATATGTGCAAGACTTTTAACCTCAATATGGTCGGTAATTAATCTTAGCTCTTCAATATGCTCGCAATACCAGTCCCTAGAAAGCTTGAACATTTACTTCTCATTGATCTCTTTGTTTTCGTTGCCTGAGTCATCATTGTGCGTGTTGGTTTGGTCATCATTATTGTCATCGTCATGAGAATGACTTTGATCATCAGCGCCCCAAGGATATCCAGTATGTGTAAATGAACTAAGGCCTGCTTGATGTGAATATGGGGCCTCGTGGGAAAATGCAGAACTACCAACACCAAAAGAACTAGGAAATACACCTTGGGACGCCATCATTTGCGTCAAGCTTTGTTGCGCCGTCCCCGGAATCCCTACATTTACTCGCTTCTCCAACTCCACGTAAATGTTGGGATTTTTTTGTTCTTCAATCAGCTCTAAGATATCCTCACTAGATTCGATTTTCATCTTCACAACTCGTTCCCTTCCATCAAATACTGCCCACAATATGTACTCAAAATTACAAGGATCGGCCTTCAATAATGCTTGAACACGAGAAACTACTTCAGAATACATTTGTCGGTCGTAATTTATTCTCATCAGTTCTGCCACTCCCCCAACATATGAACCCCCGGAAAACGTACCACCATAGCTCACGTATACTCTAATACGGTTGCTAGCGATTCAAATAAGTGAACAACAAAAGGAATTAAAACGAAAGAAACAGAAAAATGCAGTAGATGAATTGTGCAGACGTTGAATTGTTAGAGATCACTGTTTTTTTTTCATGCATGATAAATGCACAGACAAAATCCTCACATGTGAAAAAAAGCAGTCAATTAATGAAGTGCATAACTTATGCGACAGTTATGCGATCAAATTTTGAATAGTCGTAAAATTTTCATGTCGATATTGCCCTGCGAAAATGGCGCATAATTGCCAAATAAATTATGCTTTATTTGATTTGGTTATGCGATTCTTCAATATGCGAGCAAAAAAATATCGCATAATTGTCAATTATTCGGCGGATATATGCGAAAGTTTTTCGCATATTAGTAAATTATGCGATTGACTTGGATATGCAATTACCAGAAAATGCGAATTCAACAAATTTTGCGAATTATATACAAAATATTTTCGCATAGTCAAAAATTTCCAAGGTCGATATAGCCCTGCGAAAAGAAGGCGCATAATCATCGTAAATTATGCTGCATTCGATTTGTATATGTGATTCTTAAAAATGCGAAAGATGTTCGCATATTTGTAAATAATGCGTTTGATGTGGATATGCGATTAAAAAAATGCAAAATATTTTCGCATAGTCATAAATTATGCGGCTGGTTGGATATGCGCTGGTTCATTTGGACATTCGAGTGTAATATCGCATAGCATTTCGTGAATTTTAGGGTGTAAAAGAAGTTATTTGACGGGGTGGTGTGTAAAAGAAAGAATAGATCTATAACGGGGTGAAAAATATTTTGACCCTTTTTTTTTCAACACTAAGTAATTTCTATATTTTGTAATTTTTTTAACACTCGGTAATTAAAAATAATGTAATGTAATCCTATAATAATTATCTTATTTTTTATATGTATTTATGATAATTATATGTAACATTTATATTAGATAAAAATAAATAATATAGTTATAATTTTAAAAGATTAATGAAAATATAAGAGTGTATTGTAATTAAAAGAAAGTGGGGAACTTATAGAATTCATAAATATAGAGGTTTGTATGGTTTATTGTTATTAGGGATTTATATATGAATGTAGGAATAAATATAGAGGTTTATGTAGTTTATTGTTATTAGAGATCTGTGAATGTAGGAATAAATATAGAGGTTTACGTGGTTTATTGTTATTAGAGATTTATGAATGTAAGATGTAGGAGTAAGAACAAAATTTTAAATAATGTAGCATCTTGAAGGAGATTTATGCAAAGTTATCATATTTTTAATAAATGTCGTTTTAGAAGTTGCACTTAATTAATTTTTTTTTCCAATAATACCCCTATTAGTGAAGATGGATGATCTGAAAAAATATGAAGCGTGAATATAAAATGACGTAGTATATTTATTAGCTAAATGAGAGTAATAATAGAAAAATATCTATAAAATATCCAAAACATCATTTATTTATTTAATACTACCTCCTATTCTTTTTAAATGTCATTTTGGCATTATCAACTATTAACAAAATAAATGTCGTCTTGGATATTTTGTACATATTTTTCCATTATTACACTCATCTAGCTAATAAATACACTACATTTTTTTATATTCACTCTTTATTTTTTCTAAAAACATTCATCTCTATCATCATTAATGATGGTTATTATTGTCAAAAAATATATTCTTAATAACTGTACAACTTCCCAAAATGACAATTATTATGAATAGGAAGGAATAGTTGATAAAATTAAAATGACATTTAAAAAAAAATAGAAGCTAGTATTTAATAAAGATGCTATTACAATGTCAATCGAGTAATTGCGGCCGTAGTAAAATGTGGTAAAAATATATTGGTGGGGGAGTTATCTGGAATCCGGTTGTAATCGCGAGGTTGATATCATTATTGTCCTACACATTAAATTAAAATTCAACATGTCGTGGGTAGAATTAATTATCATTATATTAAATACAATCAAAGGGGACCTATATGCTATAGTATTCAGTAGTCACAATCCAATCCACACCATCTCCATCTACTCGCAAAAAGCTCTACAAACCAACACATCACTCACTTTCAGATCTTTAATTGGTCTCTCTCTCTCTCTCTCTCTCTCTCCTATAAATCCCTGTTATCTTCTTCGGGGCTCGATTGGGTGAAGATGAACCCCACACACCTAATATTATTACACAGGAGGAGGCTGCTACAACTTTCTAAATCCAGAAACATTACAGAAACCTCCAACTTCCTCTCCCCTACCACGGCCGCGGCCGCCGATGGAGAGCCCACCTTCCAGCCGGTCAACAACGACTCTCCCTCCTCCTCCTCTTCCGCCACCGCCGCCGGGATGAGGCCGTTCGAACCCGCCACGCACTTCGACTCCTCTATGGCCCTCACCATCCTCGTCCTTCTCACTGCCCTCTTCTTCATGGGCTTCTTCTCCGTCTACATCCGCCGCTTTGGCGGTGGCGGAGGTGGACCGCCGTCGAGCGCTGCCGCTGGGCCGAGGCGGCAGGAGAAGCGGAGGGGGGGACTGGACCCTTCGGCCGTGCGGTCGCTGCCGCTGGTGGCGTATGGAGGCGACGGGAGGCACCGGGGGGCGGCCGGCGGCTGCCCGATCTGCCTGACCGAGTTTGAGGAGGGGGAGGCGGTGAAGCTCATCCCCTACTGCGGTCACGTGTTTCACGACGGATGCATCGACACGTGGCTTGCGTCGCACATGACCTGCCCGCTGTGTCGGTCGGCCCAGCTGTTCAAGACGGGCGATGATGAGGGAGGGGGAGTGTTGGGGTGCGACGCGGCGCAGGTATGACCGTGTGGACAATCGTGACACGTGGGCGGATGAGGATGCGGTTGGGTGGCGGTAACTTTGAAATCTACAATTTTTTTAACGTTTTCATTTGTTTTTTTTTATCTCTCTTGTTTTGTGGGGGAGCTACAGTTCTTCGGTAGGGAATGGATTAATGACGGTGCGTTTAATAATGTACATAGGTACTTAGTGTACATAGGTACAGCGGATGTTGTATTAACTAGTACAGCGTCAAGTGGACTAGTTGATAGGGCTTAGACTAGGTTACTGATTTATTTAAGAGTGTTGCTATTTACCGCACCCATTTTTGATTGTACCGCATCCAAAAAATACATTTTTACCCATCTCAAACACACACTCACTCTTGCACCACAAAAAA